CGTCTTCTAATGTTAAATCACAACGAAAAATCTTCAGATGTCACAGTCGAAGGCCACTCCGAGGCAGGTCTGCACCAGAAGCCAAACGCAGACGTTATCCGGCCCCATCCCCTTTGCTTTGATAATGAAAACATCAAAGGGAAATTATGGGTATTTCTGCCCGGGGAAGCGAAAGCCTGAAGGGACTCGGAGCAGTAAACAAAGAAGCCGGGCCGAGGAGTTTCATTTTTCGAAGGCTTCCGGGAGAGGGAGGAGCATTAGGAGGAGGGTTCCTTATCCCTCCCCTTCCCTCCCCTCCCCTGCCCTCCCTTTCCCAACCCCTCCCCTCCCCTCCGCTCTTATATAAGCCCCCCTCCCCTCCCCTCCCCTCTACCCCGTCCTATGCAGATCTAGGGAATGAGTTTACTGATTCGGAAATCACTGAATATAAAGTGACGAAATTACTCCTTCTTCTTGAATAGAACTTGAAGGGAAAAAAGGAGGTAGAAGAGAAAAGGACGCGAGAGAGAGAGAGAGAGAGAGAGAGAGAGAGAGAGAGAGAGAGAGAGAGAGAGAGAGAGAGAGAGAGAGAGAGGGAGAGAGAAAGAGAGAGAGAGAAAGAGAGATACCTGTACGATGCTCTTAAAAAAAGAGAAAGAAAATAGAGAGAGAGAAAAAAAGAGAAAATAACTTTTCAATCATTTCTTTTACTCAAGTACGAGTAGAAATGTTTTCGAAAGGTAAATGAGCTACTCGATTCTCCTCGTCAATAGTAAAAAACGAAAACAAAACAAAACAAAAAAAAACAAAAACAAAACAAACAAAAAATGACAAAGAAAGGAAGAGAAACAAAAAGGGAATCGGGGAAAGTCAATGAGAAATAATAAATATTCCGAAACAGAACTTGAAAAGATTTTAAAACCTGCTGGATCTGTATCGTGGTGATTTCTGAAAGGGAGATAAAAAGGAAAGGAGGAGGAGAAATTGGAGAAGAAGGAGAGGAGGAAGAGGAGGAGGAGAATAATAAAGATAAGGGTGAGGATAAGGAAGAGGAGGAGGAGAATAATAAAGATGAGGGTGAGGATAAGGAAGAGGAGAGCGAGGAGGAGGAGGAGGAGAAGAAGAAAAAGAAGAAGAAAAAGAAGAAGAGGATAAAGGTGAGGATAGGGATGATGAGAAAAAGGAAGGGAAGAGGAGCAGGAAGAGGAGGAGGAGAAGGAGAAGGAGGAAAAGGAAAAGAAAGAAGGAAGAAGAAGCGGAGGCGGAGAAGGATTATAAAAATAAGAATAAGAATAAGAAGAAAAGGTAAAGATAGCAACAAAACTAAAGGGATGAGATGAAGAAAAATAAATAGAAAAAGATTAAAAAAAAATGAAAATGAAAATGAACAAGAATAAGAAGGAACTCAATATGACGAAAGAATCTGTTATTTTATGCAGATGATAAGTCTCCTCCCCCCCCCCCTTTTCCCAGCCTCTCCCGCCCAGCCCCACATGAAGTATGTTTACTTTTTTCTATATGTTATTATTATTATTATTGATATTATTATTACTCTCTCTCTCTCTCTCTCTCTCTCTCTCTCTCTCTCTCTCTCTCTCTCTCTCTCTCTCTCTCTCTCTCTCCCTCCCTCTCTCTCTCTCCCTCCCTCCTTTCCTCTCTCCCTCTCTCCCTCTCTCTCTCTTGTCATTGTTGTTATCTATCACTATTTTTCAGTTATCAAAAAAACAAACAAAAGAAAAATAATTATATTCTCTAATCAAGGAAATAAGGTTTCGAAATACTTATTTTCTGATTTCATTTTCATACATAAAAAAAACGTATTATTTTTTAAACTAACACTATTTTGCAAGGATTCCAATTCTAAAAGTGATACAGAATCGCATTTTCTGAGGATTTCATCAAATTCCTCTTAATTTCATATATGAAGAGAAAATCAGGAAAATATGTATAACAAAACACACACACACACACAAAGACACACACACACACACACACACACACACAAAGACACACACACACACACACACACACAAAGACACACACACACACACATACACTCACACACATACACTCACACACACACACACACACATACACACACACACACACACACACACACACACACACACACACACACACACACACACACACACACATATATATAGATATCACTAGCTGAAATGGAATAATTATGATAATGATAATTACGATGATAATGATGATGGTGATATCAATAATAAGGATAATGACATGATATCAATAATAGTAATGATGATAACAATTGTAATAATGATAATCCCAATGATGATGCTAATTATAATGATACAATTAATAATTACAGTTATAATGATAATATTGATGATACTACTACTACTAATAGCAATCAAAATAACACTAACAATAAGAATAATTATAATGATAAAAACACTACTACTTCTACTTCAAATAATGATAACAACAATGGTAATAATGATAATAATAAAAGTAATAACAATAATGAATCAATAATTGTAATACTAACAATAGTAATAGTTATGGCAGCAGTAGTAGTAATAATGATAATAAAAATGACAACAGCAATATTAATGATACTCGTCGAAACAGTAATAATAAATGATAAAACACGAAAACAAACACACAACACACAAACACACATATAACACAGACACATAACCCCCCCCCCCAAAAAAAAAAAAACAAAAAAAAAAACGATCACTTAAAAAAGACCACAGCTAAAACGACCAATCCAACACTTTAACTCAAAAAGGTAAACAAAGACTCGGCCTTACCTCCTTGTTCTAGCTTGTTGGACAGGTGAACTAAGCAGACGTAGAGGGAGAAGATGAGGACGAGAAGTAGGAGGGTGAGGGAACCGCCGAAAGTTAACAGGTAGATGTTGAACCCTTCTGGCAGCTCAGAGGTCGGGCAGGGTGACATAGATGAACACGAGTCGGATGCTGTAAGATGGAAGAGCAGGTAAAAAGAAAAGAAAAGAAAAGAAAAAAAAAAGTGGGTGTAATTTAGTAATTTTTTGTATTTTTGTTTGTGTGTATACGAGTAGGTATGGTGTGTTTCAATGTGTATATGTTTGTGCGCGATTAGAAACACACGGTATACAGACATGCTCTCTCTCTCTCTCTCTCTCTCTCTCTCTCTCTCTCTCTCTCTCTCTCTCTCTCTCTCTCTTTCTCACACACACACACACACACACACACACACACACACACACACACACACACACACACACACACACACACACACACACACACACACACACATACACACACATACACACGCGCACAATGGAATGTATTTTGGCTTATTTTTCAACATTGTTCATTCATGCTGCATTATTTTATGAATGTTGATAACGCAACAATATTCATATGAATTATAGGAAATGAAACAAACGCCATGAGATCATGAAATTAGCGAACTCTTTACTGTAGTGTTGCCAACCAGGTGTTCCAAACTACCTATAGGCCTAACTACTGTGTCATTTTCCTCGTAGCTGTGTTGTCAGATACCCGGAAATGCCAGAATTTGTGTAGGCTTATTGCTCGTTGAGAGAGAGAGAGAGAGATTGAGAGAGAGAAGGATTGAGAGAGAGAGAGAGAGAAAGATTGAAAGAGAGAGAGAGAAAGATTGAGAGAGAGAGAGAAGGATTGAGAGAGAGAGAGAGAGATTGAGAGAGAGAAGGATTGAGAGAGAGAGAGAGGGAAAGATTGAGAGAGAGAGAGAGAAGGATTGAGAGAGAGAGAGAGAGAAAGATTGAGAGAGAGAGAGAAGGATTGAGAGAGAGAGAGAAAGATTGAGAGAGAGAGAGAAGGATTGAGAGAGAGATAGAAAGATTGAGAGTGAGGGAGAGAAAGATTGAGAGAGAGGGGGGAGTGGAGAGAGAGAGAGAGAGAGAGATGAGAGAGATGAGAGAGAGAGAGAGAGAGAGAGAGAGAGAGAGAGAGAGAAAGAGATGAGAGAGAGAGAGAGAGAGAGAGAGAGAGAGAGAGAGAGAGAGAGGGGGGGGGGGAGGGAAAGATAGAGGGAATGAGAGTGAGCGTGAGAGTGAAAGTGAGAGAGGGAGAAGGAGAGGGAGAGAGAGGGAGAGAGCAAAAGAGCGAGAGTATAAGAGAGATAGAGATGAAGAGATAAATAAATAAATAAATAAAGAGACAAATAGACAAAGTGACAGAAGGATAAACAGAAAAAGAGAAAAAGATAAAGACTGAAAGAGAGAACAGGAAGAGAAAAGGAGAGAGAGAAGGATTGAGAGAGAGAGAGAAAGAGATGAGAGAGAGAGAGAAGAGAGAGAGAGAGAGAGAGAGAGAGAAGAGAGAGAGAGAGAGGAGAGAGAGAGAGAGAGAGAGAGAGAGAGAGAGAGAGAAGGATTGAGAGAGAGATAGAAAGATTGAGAGTGAGAGAGAGAAAGATTGAAAGAGAGAGAGAGAAAGATTGAGAGAGAGAAGGATTGAGAGAGAGATAGAAAGATTGAGAGTGAGAGAGAGAAAGATTGAAAGAGAGAGAGAGAAAGATTGAAAGAGAGAGAGAGAAGATTGAGAGAGAGAGAGAGATTGAGAGAGAGAGAGAAAGATTGAAAGAGAGAGAGAGAAGATTGAGAGAGAGAGAGAAAGATTGAAAGAGAGAGAGAGAAAGATGAGAGAGAGAGAGAGAGAGAGATGAGAGAGAGAGAGAAGAGAGAGAGAGAAGGATTGAGAGAGAGAGAGAAAGATTGAAAGAGAGAGAGAGAAAGATTGAAAGAGAGAGAGAGAAGGATTGAGAGAGAGATAGAAAGATTGAGAGTGAGAGAGAGAAAGATTGAAAGAGAGAGAGAGAAGATTGAGAGAGAGAGAGAAAGATTGAGAGAGAGAAGGATTGAGAGAGAGATAGAAAGATTGAGAGTGAGAGAGAGAAAGATTGAGAGAGAGATAGAAAGATTGAGAGTGAGAGAGAGAAAGATTGAGAGAGAGAGAGAGAGATTGAGAGAGAGAAGGATTGAGAGAGAGATAGAAAGATTGAGAGTGAGAGAGAGAAAGATTGAGAGAGAGAAGGATTGAGAGAGAGAGAGAGAAGATTGAGAGAGAGATAGAAAGATTGAGAGTGAGAGAGAGAAAGATTGAGAGAGAGAGAGAAAGATTGAGAGAGAGATAGAAAGATTGAGAGTGAGAGAGAGAAAGATGAGAGAGAGAGAGAGATTGAGAGAGAGAAGGATTGAGAGAGAGATAGAAAGATTGAGAGTGAGAGAGAGAAAGATTGAGAGAGAGAGAGAACGCATGATTGACGTGATCTGTCAAGTTGTTTCAGGACGCGCTTGATATTCCCGTGACCACTACACTACACACACACACACACACACACACACACACACACACACACACACACACACACACACACACACACACACACACACACACACACACACACACACGCAACACACATATACATATATATACATATATATCTACATATCTATCTATCTGCTTTATATGTACGTATGTATATATATGTGTATCTACATATGTGCAATACAAAATTTAAATAAACATAACTCTCTAACCACAGCTTTCTGGAGGTCAGATTCGACATCATCTCTACGACGAAGTGCAGAATGGAATAAATATTGAAAGACACAAGAAAACAACAACAACAACCCGAGTCATGAACAGGAAGAAGGGGAGATGAAGACTAGAAAAAAAAAGGTAAAGGAGAAACCGTATTTGAATTAATGGATTAATTCCTGGCTTTTATTTTTAATGTGGTGTATCGCTCTGAAATCGTCTCTTTCATTTCTCTGAATAAAAGTAGCAAACGTCTTCTGTGTCGTATCTATTGTCATATCTGAAGAAATGTCGTATCATATCTGGTGTCATATCTGTTGTCATATCTGTCATATCGGTGCCATATCTGAGGGAGGAAGCGAACTCCCTAATTTCACTCGATCATTTCATCTCGATGGGATCTCTGCAATCAAGAGGAATATCGGATGCTCCTTATATATGAATTCCGGATCAAGTTTGATGTCTTTAATTCGGTCACTCCAGACACATGCCTCAGATGGCGGTAAAGGATTAATACTATTCTTACTTATTCTTACTGTCCCTGTTATCTTCCTCCGGTTCGGTTATCTATGTCTGGAATCTATTTTCTTTTTATCTAGAGAACACCTCGGATATATCATCGTTCTCTCGTTATTCGGTATGTTTGAAGCCGCACCACTGGTCAGTTCTTAGAAGGAGAGATCAATTTCCCAACCCGCTCTTCACAAGCCGATTCTTTCCTTGTCATGTCATTTGATCGACTTCCTGCTTTCCGGCTTTCTCTCGATTTGCCTGTCCCTTTTTGAAGATAGACCTGGATTATATTTATGAAAAAACAAACCATAAACATATATGTATATATATATATATGTATATATATATATATATATATATATATATATATATATATATATATATATATATATATAAACATATATATAATATATAGATAGATAGATAGATAGATAGATAGATAGATAGATAGATAGATAGATAGATAGATAGATAGATAGATAGACAGATAGATAGATAGAGAGATAGATAGAGATATAGATAGATATAGATATAGATACATACATACATCATATACATACCACTAGAGATGTAGGACGGTGGGTAGGCTGTGAAAGATAAATAGATAGATAGACATTATACAAATAAACAGATATATACTAGAATACACAGTTACAGATAGATAGGTAGAGAGTGAGAGAAGGGTGGATATATAGATAGACAGGTAGAAGAGGGATAATAATATGAACAGAAATATTGGTTGCAATAGAAATATTTACAAAGATAATCGCAGAGACAAATTTATAAATAAACTGACACAGATTGAAAGTTAAAAAGACCTACCAATGGTCAGATTAACAGATCCCCCTCCCCCCTCCCCCCCACCCCCTACACACACGCACACACAGTCAACCTCCATATCTCTTTCCAAGACAAATCAAAATATTATCAACACTGAGCTGTTACCAATACTTACATGAATAAGGTGACAGCTGACACGTGGACCAGAGTGTGTCTATGTCTGCACTACATCTGACGTTCACAAAATCCCCTGGTTTTGATTGCTGGAAAGAGTTTAAAAATTACATAATTATGCGATGGGAGAGGAGGCAGAGGAAGAAAAGTAAGAAGAGGAAGAAGGAGAGATGGATGAGGAGGAAGGAGAGAAGGATGAGGAGGAAGGAGAGAAGGATGAGGAGGAAGGAGAAAAGGATGAGGAGGAAGGGGAGGAATAAGATGAAATGAAAGGAGAAAGAGGAAGATGAGAAGAAAGTGGAAAAGGAGGAAGGGGAGGAGGAGGTAATGGAAGAGGATGAAGGAAAAGAAGAAGAAAAATATGAGAAAAGGGAAGAGGAGGAAGGGGAAAATAGGAAGAGGATTAAGAGGAGCAGACAAGGGAGGACGAAAGAAAAAGGAATAGCATAGAAGACAAAAGGAGTGAAAATGACACAGATGATGGATGGAAATGAGGATGAGGGAGAGGATTCAAAATGATGATGATGAAGAAAAAGTAAAAGATGAGAAAAAAATACAGAAAAACGAGTAGTAATATAAGTAGTAGTAGTAGTAGTAGATGTATTTATAGTACAAGAAAGAATGGAAAAGAGAAGCAGGGAGAAGAAGAAGGTGAAGAGAAGAAGGTTAAGAAGAAGAATTAATAGTAGAAGAAGACAAGAAGATGGAAAAAAGAAGAGGGAAAAGAAGAAGTATTGATAGTGAAGAAAGTGAAAATGAGCAGAGGAGGGGAAAAGAAGGAAAAAAATAATTATTACACCATTTCCTATTGTCGTTGTTATAAGAAAAGATAAGATGAAGTCAACAAGATTCCCCTGTGTTCGAAAAATAATAATAAAAAAAATATATAAATGAATAAAATTTTCTTATATGATGGTAATGATAATAAAAGTAATGATAATAAAATCAGGAAAAAATGTGGTTATGAACTGAAATACCAGTAGATAAAAATTATCAGAAAAAAGAGTTCAAGTAGAAAAAAAAAGAAAGGAGAAAAAGAAACAAAGAAATAAGATGAGAAAACAAACAAACAAACAAACAGATATTAACATACATTTTATTTACTGTATCAGACTATAGATACAAAATACAACAAGATCTAAATCCCCTGACATATAGACAAACTACAGTATATATCTAAAAAAATATAAAAAAAAAGGGAAAGCAAAGAAACCAACCAACCAACAAACAAACTTACCACTGGTATACAAAGAGGAATCCACCTTTGCAGATCAGTACTCCTTCTAAGCACTGTCTCATTACAGTAGTTTCGACTTATGCGCAAGGTAACGTTATCGCTACCCTGCTGGAGGGTTGTCCCGACGCCCCTTACCCACAGTGTTATGGAGTAACTTCCGGTCTTCACTGTAAGTGCTTTTGGGGCGTCTTTGGGCGAAGACATCACTTGGCAAGGATGGTCTGGCAACAAAGGTGGGTAGGTTGGCGGTTGAGAGAGGGGAGGGAGAGAGAGAGAAGGAAAGAGAGAGAGAGAGACAAGGAGAGAGAGATAGAAAGACAAAGAGAGAGAGAGAGAGAGATAAAGAAAGCAAGAGAAAGAAAAAGAGGGAAAGAAAAAGAGAGAAAGAGAGAGAGAGAGAGACAGAGAGAAAGAAAGAAAGAAGGAGAGAGAGAGAGAGAGATAAAGAAAGCAAGAGAAAGAAAAAGAGAGGGAAAGAAAAAGAGAGAAAGAGAGAGAGAGAGAGAGAGAGAGAGAGAGAGAGAGAGAGAGAGAGAGAGAGAGAGAGAGAGAGAAAGAAAGAAAGAGAGAGGGAGAGAGAGAGAGAGAGAGAGCGAGAGAGAGATAAAGAAAGCAAGAGAAAGAAAAAGAGAGAAAGAGAGAGAGAAAGAGAGAGAGAGAGAGAAAGAGAGAAAGAAAGAGAGAGAGAGCGATAAAGAGAGAGTGAGAGAGAGAGAGAGAGAGAGAGAGGATGGGGAAAGAGAGAGAGAGGATACAGTAGAGAGAAAGAGAGAGGATGGAGTAGAGAGAAAGAGAGAGAGAAAGAAAGAGAGAGAAAGAAAGAGAGAGAAAGAAAGAAAGAGAGAGAGAGAGAAAGAGAGAGAGAGAGAACGAAAGAGAGAGAGAGAGAGAGAGAGAGAGAGAGAGAGAGAGAGAGAGATAGGTGTAGGTATATACAGATAGAGATAGGTATACATAAATATAAATATAAAAATAGATAGATAGATAGATAGATAGATATAGAGAGAAAGTGAACAAGGTAACGAAAGAGGAAATGAAGGAGAAAAACAAACAAATGGATAGAAAGAGACACAGATATAAAGATAGAAACAGAGAGAGAGAGAGCGATCATTTATAAATTTAATATCAAGCACTCATGTCTGGGCAATACACAGTGTCATAAAAGAGAAAACGAAACACAGGTGTCACATGCCCTAACTCTCACGGCACCAAACGGCAGAACGTCAAAAACTGTGATGAATTCCAACACACATTGATATAATTCAGAATAAATTGTTATGATTCAATACAAATGGCAAAACAGTATTACCTAGTGATTGTTAAAATGGCTGGTACACGCTTGCCACGAAGCAGACCAATACCAGTGACCATTACAAAATCAAGAGTAAAATGGCAATGGGTTATAGCATATTAAGGTTCTCTGGTTATGTGAGACAGATATACCAATATACTCACCGGCAAAGACGAATGGAAGTGGAGCTGTGCAAGCAAGCAGCCATATCGATATAATCTTTGTTATATTTTCCAGCATGTTGAATATATTCTTAAATGTATGCGTGGCGTTGGTCGTTTCGTAACACAACACCTGTGAGCGCGTGACGTCACGATATAATAACACCTCTCCTAGCGTACTGTCACAATATCACAGTGTAAATGATGATGAACATAATGATCATCTCAAAGGATAATTATTAAACAATGAACTGTGTCACCAAATTGTTATTATTCTCCATAAACCGTTTACACAGCTGCGGACAACACGGGGTTATAACTCTTACTGATAACTAACCTCTCTCACACAGGATGAGTGATTTCCTGTCCTGTTTGACATCCTGCCAACACCATACAGAGTTACAGTGTTTAGGATGTAAGGCCAGTCGTATTAGGAGGTGTTAAGATATAAGTAGTTATAGTGAAACAATATTTTGATGGTGTCGATATCTTTCATTTAGTTATACATTGCATTATACATTCCCCGATGGTTCTGTATATATTAATTTAGTTATGTATTGCCTTATACATTCCCCGATATATTTTTTACTGAGATTAGAATAGCTAGAAGTAAAAAAAGAAAAAAGAAAAAGAAAATGAAAATGAAAAATGCCTCATGTATGTACATATATCAGAGTATGCGGGAAGCAAACTCAAGCTGAATTTATGAAGAAAGTTATGAGGAAGCGGCAAATACTATGGTAATGAACTATGAACTGTACGGAATGACGATAGTATAACAGACAGTCTTTCATCAGATTTTTTATATCCGCTATTTGTTTCTGAGGATAAGTAAAAATAAAAAAATGTTTTATCTTAATTAGTTCATCGGCTTTTATTCCATCTAATGCAGTACTACAAGTGATTAGCATAATCAGATTCTTAGGCAAGGATTTTTATTACATTCGTGCCTGTTATTTACTGTTAGGCTACGATTTTCGAATATTATGATTATCTTCCGTTTCAGAAATTATTGGGTTATTTCTTTTCACTCATAAACGATTATATTCTATTTTTTTCCCCAATATACGATTATATTTTTTCTCTTCTCCAATAAATAATTATATATATTTTTCCTTATCTCTCCCGGAAACGATTACATTTTTTTTTTTCTCTTCCATAACCGATTATATTCTTTCTTCTTTCCCATAAGCGACTGATTTTTTTTCTTTTCTTTTTCTCTCCCATAAGCTATATATTTTTTTTCTTCTCTCCCTCTTACGCGCTGTTATAAAGAACTCCCTGGTGATTTCCCTTCCACCTGCGGAGTTCTCGGAGTAACAATAAATTTATGTGGAGCATGAAAATGGACCCCCATCCCCCCTACCCCTCCCACTCATGCATATACAGCTGTGTATGCATAAATATCTTACATGCATACATACATAAACAGTCTGGCAGAGATACATACGCACTCACACACATAAGCTGTACATGCATACATATCTTATATGCACACACTGACATGTACACATGCAGACACACACACACACACACACACACACACACACACACACACACACACACACACACACACACACACACACACACACACACACACACACACACACACAAACACACACACACACAATCATAACAAAAAAACTGCACCGCCACACCAACACCGCCAACATACCTCCCACATAACGCCATTCTCTGAAATCACTGACCTACATAGACGCACCTCAGCTGCCCAAACGCACTCTTCCCAAACGCAGGCGCACTCTGCAGACAGACACATCACGTAGCGGTCGCATCAGCACTGCTATCTTGCTGATTTGTGCGAATTTTGTTACAGGTGAGTCTGTAAGTGACCCGAATGCAGCGGTGTTTAAAAAGATTCTTGTGTGGTTAAATGGAGGAGTAGCATGCAAAGCTTCCATCCACAGTCGGGCCAGGAGGTGGTACGTCCTGGTGCCATTCATTGATTAGAGTTTTTTTTAACCTCCCAACAGGAACGATCTCATCCTTCTCTCTCTCTCTCTCTCTTTATTTCTCTCTCTCTCTCTTTCTTTCCTTCTTTTTTTTCTTTCTTTCTTTCTGTCTGTCTGTCTTTCTTTCTTTGTTTCTCTGTCGCCTGTCTCTGTCTCGCTTTCGGTCTCTGTCTGTCTGTCTATCTGTCTGTCTGTCTGTCAGTCAGTCTGTCTGTCTGTCTGTCTGTCTGTCTGTCTGTCTGTCTGTCTGTCTGTCTGTCTGTCTCTCTCTCTCTCTCTCTCTCTCTCTCCACTCTTTCCCTTAGTCTTTGCACTCTCTCATTCGCTCACTTTCCCTCTTTTTAAGTTCCAGCTGTATTCTCTTTTTATACTTCGCTTTCACGAATATCTATCTTAAAAATCCTCTTCTCTTTCGGATTTTGAAAAGTCTGTTCATCGTTTGAAGATCGACGAATATAGAAAATATTTTCAAAGATTTTTTTCTTGTTTTTCATGAATCACAATATTCTATTTATTCATTCACAAGCAGAAAGAGAGAAGGAAAAAAAAAGTTTCTTGAAGGCCTTTAATGCATGGCAGCTTTTCCTTATTTTTTCTCTTCAGTGGAAAAAATATGAAACAAAGAACATTTTGTTACATTTTTTTATATACGTGAATAACAATGCACTATAAATATATACATTTTTTGGTCTCATTGTTCATACAGTATGTTTAATGATACGTCATGTTTCTCGCTCAGATATTTCCTTGCAAATTCAACACATGAATACAACATGAACAAACGTCGATAAAATAGTTCAATACACAACATAAAATGACAGAAAAAAATACTCTTATACG